CACACGTAATATTGTTCTTTAATCTACAACCCAATTAACAAATGCACCTCAAGTAATGATGTGTGCTTTAGAGAGAGTCAAAATGTCTAACACATTAGATTTTTGCTTTTTTTAACTAAAATTTTCTCTTTCAAACTTATAGTATTATTGAGTGACCATATCATTCCTATGCCTTTGACTACTAGCGTGAGCGCATAATTTGATCACATATATGAATTAAACACCCAAAATAAGGATTATACAAATAGAGTTAGGATCCACTTTCACACAACTATTAGATTTACACAAAATCTTGAGCATTCACCTCTCTAGCATGAATGATTGAGGTTTATCACAATTTTTCAAATGAAAAAAGACAATTATATTTTAAAAAAAAATTTTAAATAGGATAATAAGTACATAAATCTCAACCATTCATAATGGAGGGATGAATGGTTTGCATGTAATGTGTAAGAATTGTGTGTAATATATTATAACTTGTAAAGGTGTTTAAAAGGAAAAAAAGAGAAAACATAAACATTTACTCAACACTTAAAAAGTAAACACTTAGTGATGACTAATTGACTATCAAGAATGGAAAACTAATAAGACTACGAGCATGCAGCTAAGAAAATAAGGTAGATTTGTATGCCTAATAAAAGCATACATTCACAAATTCCTTCTATCACACACAGGCAACATTTAATTATTTTAATTAGCCATGAACCAAGAACTTTCATTTACTCACTTCTACAAGAAATTAATGATTTCATAACTACTTTAGGCAATCTCAGACTTTTATGTGAAAATTGGAGGGTTTATCACAATTCCTAAAGCATATGTGATATCATACACTATATATATATAAGGAAAATCACTAAACTAGCGTGAGATTTAATTTCTAATAATCATCATGTAAATTGAAATGGTGGCAGGCTAACAGCTAGAATTGCAGTTTCTAGTTCCTAGCAGCAAAGCTTTTGCAACCCCTAATAGGCATGTTTGAGAAAAGCCAAATGCACCCAAATGGATGCGTTCCAGCAGCAAAGCATATCATGAGAGTCATTCTTGATATTTCATCAAAAGAAATGAACTTCAAGACAAATAGGAAGAAAAAATCAATACAAATAGTAAGATTTCCTAACGGTACTGAGGAAGTACAGATCCACATAATGAGCAATTTATGGAAGAGGAACAAAAAACAAACTTGCAAAATCTTTTAAATGATTAACATATATTGTAAAAAGAAATAATCAATTGAATAACTTTGTTAGTATAATTAAAAAGAACATACTCGGAGCTTGAGAACTCATAGAGTCTTCCTTTTTGAGAGAAGATGACAACTGCAACTTCGATATCACAGAGAACAGATAGCTCAAAAGCCTTCTTAAGCAGGCCGTTTCGACGCTTGGAGAAGGTCACTAGTCTGTTCGCTGCATTCTCGATCCTTTTCATCACAACTTTTCCTCTCACCATCTTCTACTTCATCATCAGAGCCACGTCAATTAGTAACTTTACGGGAGAATCATTTTTTTTTAGAAAAAATGACATATATACTCACCAAAATTGAGCAATGTCCCCAGATATATATTGAGTAGCCACGCAGTGTGTAGCTATTACTCAAGTTTCAACCTTTGCAAAGAAAAATTACAAATTTTGAAGAGATTAATAATGGCAACCCAGAGCAAGGGTTTAAAAGTTCACAGAAAAGAGAAAAGCAAGGATAACCCAGAAAGAAAATAGTCTAAATTTTCTAGGAAAGCAAACAAGTTTCTTTCTTTGTGCAAAGAAAACAATTTTTAAAGATATCAATAATAGCAGCCCATAATCGCATAGAAAGGTTTCATCTTTGAAGGTGCAATGGAAGGAGGAAAACCAAGGAAAACCCAGAAAGAAAATCACTGAAAAAGGCCAAAATTTTCTAGGAACCCAAACGGCAACCACCCTGGAAAATTCCTGTGAACAAAGGGAGAAATCAAAGAAGAGAGAAGTTCAGAAATCCTATAGAAATTCACAGAACAGGAACGCAAAGAATCCATTGATTTTTTTTAGTGGAAAAAGATCCAATGATTTTCTGTAGCACTTTCTTTATATTCAAACCACAAAAATCCCACGTCTTTCCCCCACAAAAAAAAAAAAAATATATATATATATATATATAGCCTATTAAAACCATATTTAAAAGCTTTTTAATTCACATTCTTACCTTGTTTTGGTAATATTGAGAAAAAGGAAAAGAATATGCAGAACAGAAAAATAATGAATAAAGAAAATGGACGGTAAAGGCAGAATAAATAAATAAGGGAAATAAGGAAAAAAATCGTGTTACATGTCAACTTCATCGTACAATGATGTGCGCAACGGGCCACTGTTGTCTTGACTTGTGAATGCATCACGTTAGACGACCAATGGTAGGAGGCGAAGGTGTCCCGTGCTCGCCATGAATGGATTGGCAATTTTAAGAAGGTTGCTTTGAGCACGGATGAAATATATATA